CCAAGATCGGCCCTGCATGGTTTGGATATTATTAGTTTTCAATCCACCGATATTTCAAAACGGAAAATGAAGTGTATTGCTACTACGCTAGGCTTATATCCATCCATTCATGAATGAGTATTTGTGTTGTTAATTTATTTATATAGCGCATATAAGGGGAAAAAATGAATTCGGGGCCCCCGGCCCCCAACGGAATGTTATAAAAAGTTCATTGACCCTTAATATTTCCTTTTGGATAATGATGGATATATGTCGTGGCAAGTTTGGCCAAGATCCATGAATCCATGTCAAACAAAGCCTTTGTGGAACAAACAAATCCTGGCAAAAAAATTCACTTTTATATGTACTAGCAAATATACCCGGTGTCGCACGGGATTGCATTAGGACCCCGTCCTTGTGTGACCCCGATCCTATTGGAACCCTAATGAGCCTATTTAAAGATAGTGGAATTTGTCATATATTTTGTTTATTTGCGACAAACGCTTGTTTTATTCGTTGTTAATTTCAAGGTATCTCCATAACACGTAGGGGCAGCAAGTGGCACTGCTAAATATTACAGGTTTAGAAAAGTTAGATTATTCTCATTTAGTTCAATTAGAATTCAAACATAAGCGTGTACATTTTTGTTTTCTGCCTTGGGGGCAGTTTGTGAAGGTAGGCCTATATGTTTGGATTTAGTTTTGGAAACATTTCAAAGAAAAAATATTCTTGTTTTTAATGAAAGGATTTCGAAATTATTTTTCATTGTGTTTAGGGTTACGGTTGCATGTGTGTTATACATTTAAATCGTTAATAATTTAACTTTTTAATTTACATTTTAAAAAAAAAATACTTTTATCTTTACTATTTTCAAGGGTATTTTATTATATCAGTGTAAATATTTTATAAACATATGAAAATGTGTAAAAAAAAATGTTTTTCTTTTGTTTCATCACATGTCAATGATGAATGGAAATAATAGAAGCCAATATTTCGTACATTTGTTAAACACATGTTTTGGAGAGAGTCATTATTTCAACTTCTTTCTGGTGTACTTTCCTTTTTTACGTCGAATATATATTTTCCTGTATACCTGCGAGTCCTGGACATTAACAGCCGATCTTGAAAGGAAAATAAGGGCTATGAAGATGAGATGCTTCAGAAGCATTTTTGGTATTTGCTATAGAGACAATATCTCTCGAATGATACAGCGAAAGAAAGGGTTCGTCAGGCAATTGGGGAGTACGATGACCTACTGGTGACTGTGAAAAAACGCAAACTACAATGTTATGGCCACGTAACAAGGAAACAAGGGCTTGCCAAAGAAATATTGCAGGGCACCACAAGAGGAGGGAGAAGAAGAGGAAGACAAAGAAAAAAATGGGAGGATAACATCAAAGAGTGGACAGGACTAATACTGGGCGATGCAGTGCGTAGTGCCGAAGACAGAGAAGAATTGAGGAGGATGGTTCACATGTTATCTGTGGCACCCCATCGGTCACAGGACTAAGGGACATGATGATGATGATGATATTATATAAACGCGCTTTTATTTTGTTTTGTGAAACATTTCTATTACCTTTATATCCATGGATGCTTGAAAAAAACTTTGTATAACCTTCAAACCTATAGTTACTTATTGAGGAAAAATAAAATTAAAATAAAATATGATTGAACGCAGACTGCAATCAAACCAAAAATTAAAGCCATTGTCTAAATAACATTTTTTTTTTTAATTTCTAAGACTATAGCAGTAATGCAATATTACTCTTTAATATTTTCAAATAGAATAAATTATTATGTGAAATAATTTTAATTTTATTTCCTAATGTGCTGTCAAATAAAATGTTGAAAACGTTATTCAGGTAAAATAAATAATTTATTAGTATTTTACACAGAATAAAACACATATTGCTACTAGTTAAGGTGAAAAATTATCACTAAATATCCATTTTTCAATTTTTATGTTTGAAAATGTTTTTTTAATAACAATCACTTTCGACGTCTTAAGTTGCGTTGTTGCCAACCCCACTACAACCCTTTATTTTAAAAAGTTACTTGAGACACCGCTGGCTAATAAATTGTTTTTAGGCATTATAAGAGTTTTTATGTATTTATGTACTCATTCAATGAATATATTTTGTAAATTATATATGTCAATCAAGAATTTAATATGTTTTATTGTGGAGGTTTTTTTCTACGATTTGAAAATGACAACTTTTTATTGATTCACTGTTTGTTTAAGTTAGTATGACGATCAAGAATAAAACCATAAGAAAAGTTTGAAATTTTACATTTATTTGTGTAAAATTGTTTAGACATATTTCCATGACATACAATAGTATATTGCAAGATACTCACTAAAGCCAAATACTTTATATATGGCATCCTTTCGTCTTCGTGAGACGATGGAGTAGCCATGGAATAGTCCTACACTTCAACGAGTGGCTCACTAGGCCAATCCTAGAATGACAATCTCCAGTGCAGCTCTCGCAGGAGAATATTGATACCTGGTAAGATTTTGACTTCCGTATTGTTCTTCTGTTCAATGTCGGTGTCAAATCCAGGACACATGGTGAAGCTGATGCATTTCACTATTATAGATCAAGTGTGCTCAGTCTTCCTTCTTTTTTTATCCCGATCCACTCCCCTGGACACAAAGTATATTTCAAATAACTATCTTAACGACCATCTTTATACCTTTAAAATGCTAATGAGTAACAGATAATTCAGATTTTTATGAAAATAAAACTTAATAGAGATGATATATATAGTAGTCGTATAGATATAGTGAGGATAGTTAAACTTGTGTAGCCCTTGTCTCTTCCCCGCAAATAAAGGAGCGTTCATCTTCTAAATAAGCAATGATTATATTAACATTTTTTTTTTATATTTGTTTCTGGTCTTTCTTTGTTTTAGTAATTCTTAACTCAATGTTTAGATTGAATGCCAGTTACTCACCGTATAGGTTTTAATTTAACGATCTACACATCTGCTGGAACTGGACAAAAAGTTAAGTTACACAACCATATTCGTGAACTAGAGGGATTGGACCGCACAGTGGTTGGTATTCGGGGTGCTGCGCAAAAAGAAACCACAAAAAAAAAAAACATTCAGAAATGATGCATTTAAATGTGTGGACGAAAGTTTTTAGAGATTTTTTTTAAAGGTAAAATTCGATGGAATGTGTTGCATGGGCATATAAGCCTAGTTTCAGCTCGATAGTTTGAAGGGATGTGGGTCAAATAGGTTCAAAATAATTTGAACTAAACACAAAAAAGCGAAGTTGATACATGAATTTTTTTTAAGTAATGAATTATTTAATAGGATTTAACAAAAAATAGAGCATGAATTAGCAATGTCATAGCCGAAGTAAGTTTTCTAAGTGTTATTTTGATAAATCACAAAGATTTCATAACGGTCTTTGATGAAAAATACAATTCAAACACATCATATTTAACATTTATTGCAGTCCACCACTAATCCAAGTTAACTAGATGACGAATGTTGCAACATGGAAAAAAAAAAAGTTTCTCAACTCTTGATAAACAGGCGCTAGCTTTAGTGGGAAAACAGGGCATATTAACAAACCATGTTAAAGTACGTCGTAGAAATGACATTGTTTTTGTGAATGGGTGTGTAAAACGCGGGGGGGGGGGAGGTGTGGCTGCTTTATTACAGTAAATTAAGTGAAGTTATCTCAAGCTGCAAAGATAGCCGTTTTGAAATATTTAACCTTTATTTTTATTTGTTTTAACTTTATGTAGCATTACTACAAAGGTGACATGAGTGATAATTTTAAAGCCAAAAGTGGCAATGGGCCCCCTAAAAGACAGGCGACGGGTCTGCCTATGAGTTCATAAAATATCAAAATTTTAAAACAACAGATTAAATTTATAAAATTGTATAACGGTTCTTAACTGTTGGTGCCAATTTGAAACGGGGAAGGGGGGGTGGTAAAAAGTGGGGGGGGGGGTAAAGAATCATCACTAGCCATTCCAAGATAGATTCCAAGAAATGAAGTTAATTTTATGAAGAATTTAATTGAAGAGAAAAAAAAGCTTTGGAAATGGCTTTAAAATACTTCACAACATAGATGCAGTCTTATCAAATAATTTATTTTTGGTTAAATCGAAACACGGAACTTGTTACCGGTCATTAAGTGGCAATTCAGTTGCAGGTATTCCTCGGCAAATAAAAACTATAACAATTTTTAAAAATTATTTTTAGATAAAAATCACTTCAAACGACAGTTCACAGAGATTTCGGACACTGCACTAACGTCAGTTTATCGGAAGATTACGTTGTCTTGATAAACGCGTACGTGTGTACCTTTAAAGTAATAATTACTATTTACAATTTACACTCTGCGGTCATAGTTTCAAACAAAAATAAAATGTCGAAACATCAGCATATTAATGTCAATATTATAAAATTATTTTAAACTATATTGTTTACTTCTCTACTAGACATGTTCAAAAAACATTTCAGTTTTAATTGCTGTTGTGTGAGAGAAGGAAATTGTAACTATCACTTTTGTTCTTGTGCTTTTGTGACATAGTGATTGTTTGGCATCCATTGAATTTATTTTCTACAAACGCCATTTCTATTTCGTTCTTGGTCCTCGAATAGATTGAACCATTTTGATAATTAAAAATATAATATTACTTACAAAGAATATCAAAATCGACATACTAAAACATGAGAGTTGGCTCGACGATATCCTCATTATTACGAATGGTGAAGACGTTATTAAATATATTTGATCTCCTAAGATTTCTTATTAAAAAAAACCCTAGAAATGTATTATCAGTGCCTTTAAACAAAATGTAACATTAACAGTGTGAAAATTTGCATTTTAATAGCTCCTTTAAAAAGAATGGGTTTGGGGTAGGGAAGGGGGAAGGGGTTTAAGTTCATTTCAACACAGCTCAATGAGGATGTATCTGAGAATGTATGAAACGGAGAAGAAAAGTTCCCAACACTATTTATAGCTATGTTTTTCCCTAACAAAAAGGAAACCCCGATATAACGTGTCAAAACTACGCTATTGAGGCTATTGTAAGTATTATTGACTGAATTAGTTCATTAACTTTTTTTTTTAAAAAGCTTTCTTACAATGTCAATTTATTTTAGTTCATATAATGTCATTCCGAAAGTAAGAACCTTCTGCGCTGTCTTACTAAGTGGTAGAACAATCAATGATTATATCAACATAAAAATTAATAATTTAATGTCTTACAGTACCTCAACATCATATCACGTTAATGACTCTATAAGCTTAAGTAAAGAATTGACTTAATGATATAAAAATATCGGAACAATGAGACACGTTAGAGCTTTCCATTTGATTTCTTGTTAAACAAGTGTTTGAAAACTGCTGGTCCAATAACATACATACATATAATTAGAGAGATACACGCAAATAGATTTTTGTTAAAGGCTTCAAAACGTCATGTAGATTTGGGAGAATAATTGGGAAAACAGCCAAAATAAGTGGACTGTGCTGCTTAACCGGTCGGAACTGCTATATATTCAACCACTGCTGGATACGGTTTAACCGAAAATGCCCAATACACCCGAAAAGTCCTCCCGCGCAGTGAGGATGTGAGTCAGAAAAATAGAGAGTGCGAGAGAGCTAGAGAGAGAGTGGCAAAGAGAATATATAGAGAGAGAGACAGTTCGATAATGACAGTTATATAAAGAGATAAAGACAGAGAGTGAGGCTGATCATGAGATACGGAGAGCAAGATATCGTGTGAGTGAAGTATGGAGTCTGAACATAGAAGGAGACAAGAGATAGACAGACTGACAGAGAGAGAGAGAGAGAGAGAAAGAGAGAGAGAGAGAGAGAGAGAGAGAAACGGAGAGCGAGGGATCGAAAGTGGGACAGAGAGACTAGACAGAGAGAGGTATGCAGAGAGGTACAGAGCGAGACAGAGACCGAGAGCGACAGGCAGAAGGAGACTTAAGGTTTATACAAGTTTGAATAGTCACGCAATTCTTTGTTAAATCATTTTCGTTTGTATTAAGTGTGGAACGATATCGTATATTGTTTAAAATGTAATTGGTAGGATTTACATCTGACAAAAATTAATATTAAGGTCTGCTATCCCTAGAACTTAGCCTACATGTACTAGCCTACAACATGTTTGACATGTCATCTATTCCCGATCAATCAAAACTAAAAACTAAAATCAAATTGTAAATTTTAAAATAGTACTTAACCCAAAAAAAATTTAAAAAACAAAAATAAATAAGTACCTTTCAATAAGTTCATTTCTAATGTTACGTCGTGATCCTCTCAATCAGCGGTTCTCAAACTGTGATGGACCATGAGGCAAATCAGACTACACGCACGGCTGGTTTTCGTGGGGGTGGGGGTCGTGATTCACAAGGAAATGCTCCGATGAAGTTTTATAGAACAGATATCTCTGATCTCAAAAATTAAGTTTTGATCTAGAAAATGTATTTATGTTACCTGAATTTATAAATGGGATCGGTTAGGCAATAATGAGATCAACTCTGTTGGGTTTCTTTTCGACAATCCGGCAAAGACGTTTATAATTTCAAACAGCGCAATTAGCTTATAAAAAAAAAAGACATCAAGCTCAGTGGTTCTCAAACTCTTCCGGTTTCCGCCCCTCTTGGGCCCATAAACTCATCCTGAAAGCACTCCACACCCACTTTTTTTTTTTTGACCAACCTGCCTAAGGGTGTGAACTGAGTGCATTCGTTTTGCACTCCTTTCTCTTTTGTCTCCATTTTGACGATCGGCAAGAAAATGGAAGAGAAACGAATGTGTTACATTTTTGTATCGTCACATGTCGCCATTTTGCTCAGTTTGGTTCCACTAGGTGCAACAATAATGGAGGCTTTGCTATTGCTCTTACTGTTTTGGATGAAAAGGAAACGTCGAACCCCAAAACGTTACTGGACACACAGAATTTTTTTACGAAGACGTGATTTTGGAGAATAGCATCATCTTCTGGATGAAGTTTTAAGAGATGAAGAAAAATGTGTTTCCTATATTCGGATGCGCCCTGAAATTTTTCAAATCCTTCTTGATCACATTGGACCTCATATTGAGAAAAGAACAACGAATTTTCGAAAACATTTGTCTTCAAGAGAAAGACTTGGGATAACTCTACGGTAAGTGGCACATTGAAGATGACTAATGACAAAAACATATTTTAGGGCAGGTAGACAGACAGGCCGACGGGTGGGTTGAAAGATGGATCGATGGATGATAGATTGACACTATAAATTTACAGCAAAACAAGTGTTGATGGACATTTTGCGGCTGGTCTAATCACTTGCTGAGAGTAAATTGGGAGAAATTTTAGTTGCGAGTTAAAACGTTCGGGTTCGATTCAGCAAATGGGAGCGGCAAAAAAAGGAGATGAACGCGAGAGGGGTGCACTCCGTTGCCTAGATGGAAATATGAGACTCTTCCGGTGATTCGGCAACTGAGAGCAAAGGTCAAACTGGGAGCATCACGAAGCGGAGAGGAACACGAATGCACTCAGTTCACAGGTTCACTCAATTATTTGCATTTTCGGTATTGTAAAATTAAACGATACTCTACCGAACGTATGACATTGAGTCAATGTACAAATATGTTTCACTTCAATAAATTCTATAATAAGATGTTTAAGCGTTCTAAGATACCAGAGGTGTTCATGGGAGATTATGTAGTGATGGCAGTTTTGTAATGGCTGGTGTAAAGTGTCATCATAAACCTTTCTTTCGTGTGCTCGTGTATGATTAAAATTTCGGTGTGAACTAAAATGATATTCTGATTTCACAGTCTGTTTTGGAAGTATGATTTTGAAGTCTGATTTGCTAGTATGATTTGAGAGTCTGATTTGGAAGTCTGATTTGGTAGTATGATTTGATAGTCTGATTTGACAGTGTGTTTTTGAAGTCTGTTTTGGAAGACTGATTTGAGAGTCTGTTTTGGAAGTCTGATTTGACAGTCTGTTAAGGAAGTCTGATTTGGTAGTATGATTTGATAGTCTGATTTGATAGTCTAATTCCTAGTCTGCTTTGGTAGTCTGATTTGGTAGCTGATTCTTAATCTGATTTGGTAGTCTGATTTGATTGCCTGAACTGGTAGTCTGATTTCGTGGTATGAGTTGGTGGTCTCATTTCATAGTCTCGTTTCATCGTCTCATTTTATAATCTCATTTAATAGTCTAATTTGATAATTTCCTTTCGTAGTGTTATTATAAGCTCTAACATAACACAGTTACACCATGGTAACAAAAATAATTTAGAGATACGTTTTTAAAATTGTCTTTTTTTCCCTCCTTTATTTACAAATTAAATATCTTTGAGTTGTTGAAAAGGAAATTAAATGTTTTATTGCTTCATCCTAAAAATGATTTTTATGTTTACCCCAGATTCTGTCATCAGCAACAGTCAGATATTTCTCAAAGCAAATCTGTTGCAATGGCAACACAAAATACTGATGTAACAGACAAAGAGCATACCACCAACCCTACAGCCAGCCAGGACTATGACACAACTATCATTGATCACGATTATAACAGAAGACTTAAGGACGCCATATGCGAGACTTTTATTCATCATGTCACAGACCCATACAAATTAATGAGATTGCTTCAGAAATATAACAGTAACGTTTTGACAGCTGAGGACATTGTAGGTTTTTGGGGTTTTTTTTTCTTTGCTAATTTGGATCTTGATAAGCTATCATTTAAAGAGTGTAGATATAACTATATCTAGGATGTTGCTATATCTCACCAACATCAAGAATTGGATTTAAAATTAAAATACTAAAACCAACAGCGGTTGATTATCAAACAAGTCAGGTCATCTTTAGTTACCTGGTTTTATTCAACGGATTTGATTAAACTATTTACCTGTTGTTTTGAAGCCTTGCAGGGCATATTTATTATTTCTAAACATTCTACCGTTCCATAAACCACGCACACCCTTCCCCAACTTATTTTTGTTGTCAACCATATTCTTACTCTTGCCACCTACTATAATAACTTCTCGACTTAGACTTTTTCAAAAAAAATTCCCACTAGCCAGAAAACTACACCCGACTTACCGGCGTAATTTGCTAAATCCCATACCAGGTAAACCCTTCCAGCCTCTCATTAAACAATGCTCATGTCATCCTAGCAAGTTTATTAATCCACTTAAACAAGTCAGCTTAACTTAATTCATATACTTTTTTTTGCTCCATTGTTTGAAATTTAGCCATGACCCGGTACATCATTTGTTTCACTACTGTGTGCGGTTTATCATCCATATCTCAGTAATGCGCATAATTTACTGCTCATTGACTCACATTAATCTCCGATTCGTCTTTAATAATGAAATTTTAATTTTAATACCATTTTTTTAGTTAAAATTTCAAATAAAGTTTGCAGATTTTATTTGTTTAAGATCAAGATTTGTTTACTGATCTCTTTGGTTTTGTTCTGATAATTCATAATGATATTTTTAAAAATATTTTTTAATATTTTAACACTGGAAACAGATGTAGCTAGCATTCATTTAAAAAAGAAAATTTGGGCGTGTTTTAAGGGTTAATATTTATATGCCATGCTTGCCATTTCTTAATATTTTGTGTAATTTATTTCAATAACCTCACATTAGGATTTCATTAAAAATTTGAAAGATAACAAAGGACCTATGGCAGCTAATCATCATTTGCTAGATCGACTTCCAGTTTACAAAGGCTGGTTTCAATGTTTATTACAAGCAGTCAATGACGAGCACATCAAGTTAGGCTTCCTTCGGGAAGTATTTCAAGACATAAAAGGTGTGTAATTTGGTGTTTGTGATTATTTTAATTCTTCAACTGTAAATTGCTTTGTCCTTGATGAACATAACATCAGTTAACAACTTTGTTTTGAATTTATAATGGAATATCAGTAAATCATTTTTAATCGTCAACACTATACATTTGTTAAATACAGTTCACGAAAGAAATCGTTTCCCAAGCATTTCTAGATATTTGAACTTAGAAATTCGGTGACAGAGAAAAAATTAAGCTCAAAACGGCTGACTAGTTATTTGAAAATAGACGTTTATATTTCATTATTTTTTAACAAAACCATAACAATTATTTTGTCATATTCCCCGGGGAAAATAAAAAGATGTCTCTTAGTTATGATTCAGTATTCAAGACAATGGAAACAAACTAAACATTTAAAATTAAAGAACACAAATAATTTAGAACTTACAAATTTAATTAAATCTTATAATCAGATGATTTTTAAAACGTTTTTTTACGCCTTCCATTAACAGCAATTATGTTGGTCTACAAAAGTGTTGAATCATCAAAACTTGCAATTAATTTTTTTTTTTTTTTAAATTATGCAACAAAATAATTTTTATGTTACATTTTTAGCCTGGCATTAGTATAGAAATTTTTTTTTCACATTGTTATTAAAATTTTCATGGAAAGATTATCTTAAATTCCAAAATGTCTATTTAGATGATTTGGACAGTCAGTATTTGTCAGGAAAAGATGAGGTGAGAACTTTAAAAACCAATTAAATTTTTAAAATATTTAAACACTTTTGAGTTTTACATTTTGCTCTGTTAATTATATTTCATTAATATCACTAACAGCCATCCATTCATCCTTTTTGTCATCCATACTTCAGCTAGTGTCCACTGCGTATAGAATGGCCTGTTATATCAAACATCATAAAAGTGTCAACACTTTAAATCATGGCTGTTTGTCACATTTGAAATATTTGTTTGAGTATATTATCAGATAGTCTAGCATTTATTTACATAAATTAAAAAGAATAATGTAATAACACAAGTTGAATAAACGTACGTTCCGGTTGAATGACTTCATCAGCATATACAACAGTTAAGAACAAAAGAAAATTAGACAGCATAATTAACTAGCTTGCAAATATATCTACTGGAAGTTTATAAGCGTGTTAATTTTGCATTACGTAAGTTTACAATAATTGGTTTTTATAAAATTCCAACTTATTTGAGACGATAAAGCACCTTAATGCCAAGCGATGGTAACAAATTTTACCAATGTGGTGTATCCCGGGCTTATGGAATATATAGTTAGGCAAGGTATGTGGCTTTCTTAAAAGTTATCCAAAGGCGAAAAGAACGAATAAAACAGAGAAAAAAACAAATGTATTTGAATAGATCAATATGTAAGTTATCACACTGACTTATATTTCAGTAACAGAAATGGCCAAAATTGAGATAAATAAAAATCACTTTTGACCTATTTAACAGGATGGCCACCACGGAGAATTTAGAAAAGTTTCGGATCTTATTGTTTTACACGCAGGCATGGGGCATGAAAAAAACGTAAATGGCTGCAAGTGGCTTCATGAGAAGTTACCACGGGATAAAGTATGTAATGAAAGAACTCGTTGGAGCGATACCGCTACTCTGTTATAGAAAAAAGAATGTGTCCTATCCCAAAGAGTTCGCATTATGCAGCTCTCATCCATCACCTTATACGTTTGATTTATTTTTAGCCACCTTGAGAAAAAAGATGGATCAGACAAACCTGCTTCTGAACTTCGTTTTCGTGAGGGACGTTTGTACCAATTCTTATTCTTTTCTTTCGTTTTCCAAACATTAATAGATAGAGCATGTATATCTACATCATGTTACATTTTTTCAACAGTAAGTTATTTTTAATTCCGTTGTACTGGTAAAGACATTAGCCGGTAGGTTTAAATGTTTATTTTTGTTTTCAAATCATTAAGGCTTTGATATCATACTTTTTTTATTTGCAAAAATTGTGTGTCTCATTTATCTACGTAAAAAGTTCATTGCAATCCAAACCTCTTATAATTAAGATGCAACTCTTTTATTGATCCATATAAATATATTTTTTTAAAAATTAAATTGTACATATTCCTTACAGCACATTCTTTACAGCACATAGATAAACATTCCTTACATTCAAAATTTTAAAAATAGTAGAGGAATTTAAATACAAGATATTCAAAGTGGAAATATCAGCTTATTAATAATGGTGACTCCTGCGAACTTATTTGAAATGGTCTACAGCACGGTAAAGAAGATGGAGCTTGTTACAGATGTCTTAGCCGGGGTCTTAAGGCGCGACTGCTTCAACCCTCCGCTATTATAGGAATTAGAATCGGTGAAGCAATAAAGTAACATTTTAGACTAACAAGAACTTTGTTTAGCGCAAATTAACATCATTGATTGGAAAAGGAAAAATTGTTTTTTTTAAAGTATTAAAAGATAAATTATTACATTTCTGATTAAATGTTTCAGGTAATGACTGGCAATCAGTCTTTTGACAATGGTAAGTCGTGTAAATTGACTGGCACTCAGTCCTTTGACAATGGTAAATCGTGTAAATTGACTGGCAATCAGTCTTTTGACAATAGTAGTCTTGTTAAATGACAAACTACAAAATTGAACAAAAGTATAATTGTTTTTTAACAGTAAAAACGGAGAGAAAGCATCGCATCATAACACTGACAAAGTCTATTTCTTTTTTTTTTTTTCACAAAAGTATTTGTTGTTATGTTTCCCATATTATCTTTACATTCTCATTTTGGATAGAAGCAATAAAATATAAAAAAAGTAGTTTCATGTAATTATTTAAATACTGATAAACTGAAAAAAATTATTGACACTTCTCCTAACACTATAGCTACAACGCGGCTTGAATAATAGCGTATCATCGACGCCTATTTTTAATGGTTGAAAACAGGATTGCGAAAGAGCCACTATGACACTGGTCATCATTAAATATATTCGTCCGATGCATACAGATGATCTCAACTAAAAATTACATTGTTTGATGGGGAAAAAAAAAACTTAAATCTAAACCGCTGTTAATCCAAGATATTATATATTTCATGTTTTTATGCAAATTTTTTTTTTAGTGGCGTGCATGCTAATTTTTGTGTATGAATAACATTTTAATTTTTTGTACCAGGCAACCTTACTCCATCTTTGAGCCAACGAAGAGAAAATATCAGAATGAAAATAACAATTGGTAGAGTATTTATTTCTTCAGTATGTTACGACCGTCATATGTAAAATATAACCAGATATCTTATGAATCTTTAACCTGTCCTTCATTTTGTTAATTAAGAAAAAAAATAATAATTTACTATTTATACTTTAGATTTATATGAAAAAAATTTGGGCAAGTCAAGATGTTATGCTACAAGTAGACATTTTGTTCAAATCTATTATCAATGTTTCTATCTTCATTTTTTCTTTGGGCAATCTGAAATATTATATGACATAATATTCACGTTAGTGTTCATGTTTGTTACATATTGAACAAACTTTTGCAGTAATTTGGAATTGTGTTAATAGTGGTATAAAAAGTTATACTACTGTTTCAATTTAACTTATTTTCTGGATGTGAATCTAATCAGCTGGCCTAAACTTTGAAACGTCAAGTCTTTCTAAACTTGCCATAGTTTCAACTTTCACTAAAACAGTGTTTCTCAAACTTGTTTGCCCCCATGCCATATTTTTAATGATACTTCTCATGTTTAAAGATTGCTATTATACTGTATTTAACTACATCATTATAAAGGCATAAACATTTTAATAATACTTCTTGCTATGTCTACCATGCGCCAACTATTTTCAAATTATATTTCATCATAAAAGCATGACTTTTAAAGTAAGGATAGGTGTTAATTATAAATTGTATAAGTCTTTTAAAAATATTGTGATTAATTTAGCATAATTATGAATTTAATTGATTACATATTTCTTGAGATACATAAAAAGACAACTAAAAAATGTGATATTTATTTTATTTAACAATTTAACGGGCTCAAAAAAAGATTGCACATCTTATCAAACATAATTAAAATCGAAAGCATTTGTGTTTTCTATATAAGTGCTACTTTGTATGAAAAACAACTAATTAACTAAGGTTTTTTTGAAAGTATTAAGACTATATTCATTAAACTCCCAACTGCTTTTGTCTTGTTAATATCAGAACAGTAAAAAAAACAGTCCCACCTATTTGCACGGATTTTTAAAAAAATCTAGTTGATACTCCATCAGAAAGCTAAACAAAAAAAAAGATTTTTGTGAACTAGCTGGCCTCTAGCTCGTGTCTCCATGTAATTTTATGGCCTCCTCTCTTTGTTTTTTCCTAGTGATTTTTGTGTTATGGATTGTCTGCTAACGTTATCTGGGTGTTTGTGGAGAGTGTACTATTTCCAACTTCATCTGTTTCTTATGATATCTTCAGCAATAGACGATATGTCATTTGTAGTAAGTATTTGTTGGTGATTGTGTTTGGCAATTTGATGATCATGATCTTTCTAAGAAAAGTTTTTGTCAAGGGCTGTACTTTCTGTGTGATTCTTACCGTTGTTATTCAAGTTTCAGCGCCATAGAGTAAAGCATTTTAAACATTTGTGTTGAAGAGTCAGCCCCTTTTACTCTCATATTTTATTAATAGAACAAATGCTGACCTAGCCTTTCCAATTCTTGTCCTGACATTCGCTTCGGGATCCACCATTTATGTCAATTGTGCTACCTAAGAATGTGAAGGCCTCTCCTTCTTCCAGTGTATTTCCTTCTAAAGAGATATGCTCTTGGTTGGCTGAGTTTATCGTCATGATCTTTGTCTCGCTTTTATTTTTGTAAATAAAAGCAAGATTTACCAGGACGGTAGATTTATGCCATGCATCTCGATGAAAATGATAGTTAATTTTGATCGTTACTTTATTCATTTAATGTCACCATGAATGGTCAAATATTTTTACGCCTAGATGAACAAACTCAACCCCCCTTTTCAACACCTTTAGCGACTGTTTAGCTACATGGGACATGATTCATCTTTACAAGCCAAGACCCTTCAATTTTAACCATTAAATACCACCAAAATCCATTTTATGAGTATGTCAAATCTTCAACACATAGCTAAGCCACTGCCCACTTCTTACTGGCAACTGGCACTGCCCCAACACCCCCCCCCAAACAAAAAAAAAAGCATCTGTAATGTAAAATGTCTAAGGGAAAAACTGAAGAAAACTAAAATAGATCTGAAAGCCATGCTATCTGTTCAGTGTAGAACTATGAGCCAAATGTCATTTACTCATATGTCACAGTGTTCCAATAAATAGGAAATCAAAGGCCAGAGAGTTGAAAAATATTTGCAATTTATTTTTCTTTTCAGCTATCTATATTTAAACGTCAAATATAATACGTATACATCCACAGAGAGGCTAACAAAACAAATGAGTAAATCAAATGACGCCCATAGAGGTATGAGACAGACATTGTTTTATTAAATTCAATGGAATAATATTTTTTTGATACCTATGCAATATATCGTTTCTTGTCTATGTAATTTATTTTTTAGTATCCTTGTAATTTGCAGTTTGTTGCTAATTTACTTTATCGATCGATTTTTGTCTCTGCAATTTATCGCTTGTTTCCCATGGAATTCATTATTTTATTGTAATAATATTTATTATTCAAAATTAATTTCAGGGTAAATTAATACAATTCAAATAATATTTTTCGTACGCCCATTTGCATTAAAGAGTGACTCAGACATTTATCTGCGCTTTTGCAATTTTATTGTTAAAGGGATGTATTCACAAATATACTGATTGTAATAAAATATGGTATATTCAAAATGGATATTAAACTGAAATTATTTTTTCAAAACGATTTACTAACACTTCGTATTTTACATATTTTTGTACGAGTAACTTTAAATTTCCTGCAGAAGAAAATTGTCTTTTTCATTACTATACGAACAAATTTATAGGCTGACTTCTTACAACGTAAAACCTTTCAAAAGTTAATTCGATAAGTCTTCAGAATAAGATGGTATGCTAACAGACATGCTATATTCAAAGGATAAAATTGCAATGCAGGTTTTTTTTTTATTTCCTTACTTTCAATGAATTAGAAATAAAACCACTAATTCAGCTTAACAATGGATGACCCAGATAGTTTTTAAAGATATTTATGAATCATTAACATTTATGTAATTTTAAGAGATTTTAATTTCTGTATTATTTTTAAATAGAGCTACAAACAGTTGTGATTCCACTAAAGCAGGAAGTGTTACAGCTAAACAAAGAAAACGGTAAAATTATTTTTTTTTTCAAATGCAATTTATTTCATTATGCAATTTATTTATCTTTTCACCCATCTATATTTAAACGTCAAATATAATACTTCTACATCCACAGAGAGGCTAACAAAACAAATGAGGGAGTCAAATGACGCTCATAGAGGTATGAGACAGACATTGTTTTATTAAATTCAATGGAATAATGTTTTAATACCCATGTAATATATCGTTTCTTGTCTATGTAATTTATTTTTTAGTATCCTTGTAATTTGCAGTTTGTTGCCAATTTACCTTATCGATTTTTGTCTATACAACCTAATCGTTTGTTTCCCATGGAATTCATTATTTTGTTGCCTAAGTAATCCATTGTTTTTTCCTATGTAATACATTTTTATTGCCTTTATAATTTATCTATTGTTACCTATGTAATTCATTGCTTGTTGCCTATGAAATAATTGTTTGCAGCCTATGTAATTCATTGTTTGTAGCCTATGTAATTCATTGTTTGTTGGCTATGTAATTCATTGTTTGTTTCCCATGTAATTCATTTTTGCCTATGTAATTTATCGTTTGTTGCCTATGTAATTCATTGTTTGTTGCCTATGTAATTCATTGTTTGTTGCCTATGTAATTCATTGTTTGTTGCCTATGTAATTATCGTTGGTTGCCTATGTAATTCATTGTTTGTTGACTATGTAATTTATCGTTTTTTGTCTATGAACGTCATTGTCTGTTGCACTTTTAATTTATCGTTTTATTCCTTTGTTAACCATTTAATGTATTGTATATAAAGTAACTAAATAATAGTGTGTGAAATATAGAAACTACTCAATATTTATTATTCAAAATTAATTTCAGGGTAAATTAATACAATTCAAATAATATTTTTCGTACGCCCATTTGCATTAAAGAGTAACTCAGACATTTATCTGCGCTTTTGCAATTTTATTGTTAAAGGGATGTATTCACAAATATACTGATTGTAATAAAATATGGTATATTCAAAATGGATATTAAACTGAAATTATTTTTTTCAAAACGATTTACTAACACTTCGTATTTTACATATTTTTGTACGAGTAACTTTAAATTTCCTGCAGAGGAAAATTGTCTTTTTCATTACTATACGAACAAATTTATAGGCTGACTTCTTACAACGTAAAACCTTTCAAAAGTTAATTCGATAAGTCTTCAGAATAAGATGGTATGCTAACAGACATGCTATATTCAAAGGATAAAATTGCAATGCAGGTTTTTTTTTTATTTCCTTACTTTCAATGAATTAGAAATAAAACCACTAATTCAGCTTAACAATGGATGACCCAGATAGTTTTTTAAAGATATTTATGAATCATTAACATTTATGTAATTTTAAGAGATTTTAATTTCTGTATTATTTTTAAATAGAACTACAAACAGTTGTGATTCCACTAAAGCAGGAAGTGTCACAGCTAAAAATAGAAACTGGTAAAATTATTTTATTTTTTTTTAATCCTAGAAAATGTTCAGATTTACCCAGTCAAATAATTTAGTGCAATAATGGATCACTCTGTGTTAAGCTTTTTTAAAGATATATGCAATAAAATAAACTTTCAAAATATTTAACTTTTAATTTCTGTTTAATTTGTAAATAGCGAAACTACAACATGAATTGATGACTCTTATATTGAAAGTGTCACAGCTTGAAAATAATACTGGTAAGATTTATTTTTAATGATCCAAGAGAATGTTCATATTAACAAATGCATTTATTTCATGGTAATAATCTATATATCTTTTTATTTATTTAAAAATGTTTCTGATAAAATAGCTTTTCAATAATGTAAAAAGCATTTAATTTCTGTTTTATTTGTAAATAGCTGAACAACAACAGGAAATGATGACGCTGACGCAGAAAGTGTCACAGCTAGAAACTAATACTGGTAAGAATCATCTTATAAATCCTCCTTGAATACGTGATAATAAAAAAAGGACTGCGTTATTGTTATTTCTTCATTTGTCTAAATCTTTATCTTTTACTAAGTTCATTTATTGTTAATTTCAATAACAATGCATTTAAACGGTTGCCTTGCTTCTGAAAAATATAGGTCGGGAAACTTTCAAAAACACAAAATTATTATATCTAAAGAAGACTAGCTGAACCGCCTTCACTCTTTGTTATTTATCTCTATTTCAAATAAATTACGTAATTAAAATTGTAGATAATTATATTAAATATACACCACAAGCGGACACCAATTTGAAAAGTTGAATTATAAAATGGTAAAATACATAGTTCACAGTTGTATATTAAGTTATCTTATTGCCTATAGATTCGACGGTAATGTTTTGGGGGTTTTAAAATATTGCTATAACGTAAAAAATTTCACCCACATTTGTGTAAAAGAAATATGCAAAATATTGTGCCACTACTATTCCCTCCCCAGAAAAACAGAAAATGATAAAATACAAAGTATCAAATTTCATTTTAAATTATTTATTTTTATTTTAAATATAAATCGATACACAATTTCTCTTTTGTAACATATTTGAGCTTGGAGATATTGATATTAAAATTTAACCCCATACCTTGTCTTTGTACCCCATGAGGAATATAAATATTATAATATCCTACTAACTGTATTGCATTTTCGAAAGAAAATATGTCCCTGTATAGTCCATAAATTTAATTAATATTTATATTTAGAATAAAATATCTTCCATAGCTCAAATCTGTAGCATATTTGGGTTTATGTGTATATTAAATTGAACCAATATCATCTTCGAAGGGATTTTTTTATTGTGAAAGGGATCCCTCACTTGGAGATATTGATATTGAAATTTACCTCCTACCTCGTCTTTGAACCGCATGCGGTACATTAAAGTTTTAATATCCCACTCCCCTTCCACCAAGCACTGCATTGCATTTTCGAAAGAAAATATTTGCATGTAAAGGTCCGTATAGCTAAAGAATTTTTATATCCATAAATATATAGAAATAAATGTCTAAATGTATGTCCAGCATACGTTCCTATACTGTTCATCCGATTGCGATGCCACGTTGGTGAGTTCTCCGCACGCCCAGTATTTTCGTGCCCTTAAATTACCACTTTTTTCTCTCAAATTTTTTTTTAAAAACCTAACCCTAAATTTACAACAAAAGCTCTATATATGATATAAATATATTTTGTATGACAGTAATTCGATATATATATATTGATATCTTCATCAAAAACTTAAACACATTTTTTTAATTTTTTTTTTTAAATTATACATTATCAGAAAATCGTAAAACAAAGAATTCTTTTATCTAAGAAGATCTCGTAACTTTTTTTTTCACGCCTCTATCAGATTTGACTGTCTTTAAAAAAAAATTAAATTGTCAATCTCATTAAAATATAAACCTCTTTAATTTTTGCAAAGTAACAACAAAAATATATTTTTTCATTTTTTTTTTTAAAGAAAATATTAACCCATCTTCATTTGTCAAAATTTAATTTTCAAGTTTGTAAAATGATTGGGTTTTGATATTCATTGATATACTTATATAAATGTACCCAAAATTTGTTAACGCCATTGATTTTCTTAACTTGTAAACATATGTTTATTTGGAAAAAGAGAAACATCTCTTTTTTCAAAAATGTAATACCAAAAAATATATATAAATATATTGTCATCCACGTAAAAATGTACACATCCCTTTTCCTATCTGCGATATGTATATAGGAAGGTTATTTATTAATCAAATTAATCTTTATTTTAAGACGTATCTTGTATTGCCTTGGGCAAAATAATCATACCCATATTTGTAAAAAGAGAACGTAACATCTCTTTTAACACAAAGGTAATACAATAGGATTTAACTATACTATTATCCACGTAAAAATGCACACATCCTATCTCCTATCTCCTATATGTATGTCTCCAAGAAGGTTAATTATAAATCAAATTTATTCCTTTATTTTGAGACGTATCTTGTATTGCCCTGGACAAAATGAGCATACCCATATTTGTAAAAAGCGAATGTAGCATCTCTTTTTTCACAAATGTAATACCATAGGAGTTTATATTGTAATCCACGTAAAAAATGTACACATCTTATGTCCTACCTCTGACATATATTTACCCAAGAATGTTAATTATTGATCAAATGCATTCCTTTATTTTGAGACGTTTCTTCTGCTGCCTCTGACCAACTCCTCCCTACCCAGATTTAAATAAATTTAGAAAATCTTCCACCGGATTGTAGTCCCTTCAATACTCAAACTAACACTTCATATGGTTCGTTCTTTTTTGTTTGAGTTATAAGTGGATTGGTGAATGCTATTTGGCAAGGGAGTTCCGCTGCACTACTTGACTTTAACCCCATTTTCTTATTATAATTATATTTAAAGGTTAGTTTTCATTACTTTATAATTTCAATAAAAGTATATTTTTGGAATTAAAAAAAAAAGCTAAACTTTTCAAATGTTAAAATATGCAAAGCTAAAGTTTGTGTGTGTTTTATTAACAATGTAAAGAGCAATCAAATAACTGTATTAACTATACTTACTTATAAGAAGGGTGAAATACTTTAACAGTTCTGTAACATGCGGTTATAAAATCACAGAAACTTAAGTGTTCTGGCTATTCGCGCCATGAAGTCATTTGCGTGATTATTTAGAACAAATTAATTTTAATTTTAATTCGCAATATTAACAACGCACTAAAAAGACTGATGTTTGGGTTTTCCCGATAAATGTGATTACGGTGTAATTCTTTGATCATGATTTTTTTTTCCATAGCTTTCAAACGCATATAAAAATCTTAAAATAGTTCCTTAGTTGATACTTTAAATGTTTTTGTAATTTATAAAAATAACACTTAAACTTTTACTAAAATAAAAGCGGATTTAAAATATTATTTACGTACTTAAATTTATTCGATTTCCGTAAAATTATAGAAAATAACTTTGATTCTTTTTAGGAATCCGAACGTACTTAAATCTTTGCTGCTCTTTGGTGTTTCGTCAGTATAGCTCATTCTTATTTATATAATAATAATAATAAGACGTCTTACATAGCGCAGTACCCCAGCCTAGGGCTGGGCTCACCGCGCTGTACATAAAAATGTTATCAAAAGAGACATAATCATGACATTAAAATAAAATACATTTATGAAATAAAGAACAGCAATGTATATTCACCCACCCCACCACATAAATTTTACAAGGCAAACCATGGACCGCAGCCAGCAAACTCTTGTATCGGTCAGAGGAGGGGAATCAGTCAGGGTAGTATAATTTAAAAAGATATGTTTTGAGTGCAGTTTTGAAGGCCTGGGTGGTTGGTATACTGCGTATGTTTAGTGGCAAAGAATTCCATTGTTTAAGGGCGCAAAAAGAGAAAGATCGTTCACCATATGTTTTAGTGTGTGTCTTGGGAATGGACAGAATACGCGTGTCTGCAGAGGAGCAAAGCTGTCGAAAGGGTGAATAGACAGAAAGAAGTTCGGTTAGATAGGAAGGGCAGGAATACAAGAAAAAGTTGTGATAGAGAACAGACAACTTGTAGTCAATGCGTGCCTGTATAGGTAGCCAATGAAGGGAATGGAGTAGTGGAGTGACGTGATCACGTTTTTTTTTTTGCCTTTAAAACTAGCCTAGCAGCTGAGTTTTGAACTTTCTGCAGTTTTTCTATGCAGTGTTTTTGTGAACCTGACAGAAGAGAGTTGCAATAGTCAAGACGAGAGAGAACAAGATCACAGACTAGGGTTTTTGTAGTGCAAACTGTGAGGTAGTGGCGTATGGAGCTGATCTGACGGATAGTGGTGTATGCTGAACGACAAATGTGAGATATGTGTTTATCGTGAGATATGAAGTTAGAAAGAATATAACCAAGATTCCTAGCAGAGGGTGTAAACCGTACGTCAGAGTACCTACTTGAAATGAGGTAGGAAGAATTGAGGTAGAGGATGATGTTTAATTGTGGATGAGGAATGCTTCCATTTTGTCATCATTAAGCTTCAACTTGCTGAGTGTCATCCATGACTTGACATCATCAATGCACCCCCGCAAAGTCTGGACAGCGGATTCAACAAGAGAAGGATGGGTATGCTTGTATAGCTGCGTGTCACCTGCAAATGACTGGCTCTCAACAGCATGCCTCCAAAGCAAGAGGAGCAGTGGTCTGGTATACAATGTGAATAGAATCGGGCCTAAAATGGACCCCTGTGGTACTCCGCACACCAAATCAGCACTGCCAGAGAGACAGCCATCGACAGAGACCGCCTGCGCTCTGCTCAGAGAAGTAGGACCTAAACCAAGCCAAAACTGATCCCGAAATTCCAAAGTAATTTTCAAATGTTTTGAAAAGGATTACATGGTCAACAGTGTCAAAGGCCGCACTGAGGTCTAAGAGGATCAGGATGGAGATATCACCACTGTCAAATGCGAGCAAGTGGTCATTGGTCACTCTCATGAGAGCCGTCTCTGTGATGTGGAAATGTCTATAGGCCGACTGATTAGAACTGAGAAGAGAGTGGTCAATTAAATAAGCAAATAGTTGTTTTAGAACTAGTTTTTCAATAACTTTAGATAAAAATGATATATATACTAGTGAGAACCCGGCATGATGCAATGCCGCCCTAAGAAAGAAAGTGTTTGTGTTTTAATAATGTTTTTAAATTACTTTTTATATTGACAATATTTTTTT